TCAGGACCCAGGACAGAGCAGGCCCTGAGGGACACATCCACACATACACACAATTACCTGGATCAATGGTCACTTTAACTTTGACCCCAAGGTCAATTCCAGTTCTCTCAATTCCACACCAGTAAGTGTCAGCGTCATCTATCCTCAGATCCTCCATGGTCACAGTGAACGTGTGGTTTTTCTGATCATCCCTGATGGACACATGGTCCATCTTCACCATCTGCTCTGATCCAGCGGTTTTAACAAGGGTCTTGCAGCTTTTCCAAATAGCTCCTCGACACCACCACTTCCTATGGGTCTCCCATTGCCCGTCATAGTGACACTGCACAGTCAGTGAACCCCGCTCCACGCCACTCACTGCTTCTGGACTAGTGATCGCATCCTTGGCAGCAGAGATGACTGGAAAACACAAATCCATGCACCTGTCACCTCCCACCCCGAGGACAGGGCCACAGCCTCCTGCACTGAGAATAGCTCTCAAATCCAAAGTGCCTCCTAACAGTCAAGGAAGGAATACACCTTCCACAGGACAAGATTTTTGTCCTTCAGAATTCCACTGGGTCAAAGCCACCAGGAAAATCGCTGATGAGCACAACTATGGATCTCAAAAGAAACAAAAATGTTGACACTGGGCAATCATAGCTTCCTGTAATTCATGCCTATCCCCCTCCCTATGGCCAATAAATCTGTACAGTGATTCATGGGTGGGGGAAGAATTGACTGGGCTGGGTATTAGGAACTTTCTGGGTGATGAAAATATTCTGTATCTTGATAGGGGTGTAAGCTGAAAGTTATGTGCGTTTATCAAAACTCATGTAAACTTAAGATCCATACATTTCACTATATGTAAGTTATACCTCAACTTAAAAGAATACTGTGGGATGCATGTAAGTTGTGCTTAAGTACATTTTATAGCATTAAATGTGTAAATTTAAAAAAAGAAGAAAGGGCTTAAATTTAATGAGCTAAACATCTATGTCAAAAGTTAGAAAACGGGCCAGCCCGGTGGCGCACTGGATAGTGCGCCGCTTGGGAAGCG